AGTGTTTTTATTTGAAACTTCTGTGAGAATATACTTTTCGTTACCAAGAAAATTAAAAAAATAAATGCATATTACATTTACATTTTGTATCATGTGGAATTTTTTTTTGATTGACTAATTTTTCAACATTTCGTAACGCCTATTTTAGAACCAAAATAATGCCTTTCTCTCTTCCCCAACGCCTTTTCAAGAGATTGTACGGTGTATTGTTTGTTTTGTGCATGTGTTGTGGACAAAAAATGACCACGCCCATTTAGTGATTGCAATATGTACGTAATAGAAACCGCACTCCGAACTTGAGCTTTTGATCCCAATTTTTAAATTGATACATTGTAATATAAACCGCGGTTTATAATAGGACTTTAACGGTACTCACCTTTATCATCAAACTCCCAGCCATATTTCTTGGCATCTTCTAAAGAGTGACCTAAAAAAGAAAGAAAAATGTATAATTTTTACCGTAATTCGTTTAGTAGATTATATATCCACCACCAATTCACTTGGGTAGAAGGGGCATGAAAATAGCTCAGGTCAGTTCAGTTCCCTTAACTTCACATGTCTAGCACAGACATCTGAAGCAGTGGGTTAGTATTCTTGCCATGAGGATAACCATATTTTCTCTATTAGTAGCATTTAAGTTAATGACTGATGGCACTTTAGTTGATGACGAAGTCAATCGTTAAAAATAAGTAATTTTTCAATGATCTAGTATATAGTAAATGCAATTTTTGGTGTACATTGTATGTGTGCTACTCTTTGAAATGTGCTTCTAATAGAGCCAGTACGGTACATAGGCAGCACAGGACCTGCCAATGTTACGTCATGCCGTATCTGTTAGTGACTGGCAACACTTTGATAAACAAAAGTTAAAAAATTACTTTTCTTTCAAGCAATAGCACATGGCTATGTGACAGCAAAGCAAACATGAACTATGTAATTGGTTCATGACGTGATACTGTTTTTTTAAGAGCGTCTTACCTAGTAAGGCTGCTTGGTGCATGAGTTTCTTTGGTATACATCCAACGTTGACACATGTACCGCCAAGACCTAGCAACGTAAATTAATTGTTTTAAATTCACATAAAAAATGTTTTGGTTTGTGTTGCATAAAAACGTTATTTATGTGTGGACACCTTATTATTCCACATCTGTGTTAGTATCACTATATATACTCACCCCATGTTGTGCCTTTTGGAGTGGGTTTCACAAAATCAAAAACTGCAACTTTCTGACCATGTTCAGCTGCTTTCTGCAAAGTATAAAACATACTTTTGTTATAACAATCATACTCATTTGTTTCTATCTTAACATAGGTATACAATTTTGTATTCAGTCGTCCAGAAGTGGGATGCTTTATGTTTTTCTCTCACAGTATCGTACTCGACCGCATTAGCGCCCAGGGGCCTCAACTCAGAAAATCATGATTTTTTAGGGGTGGGCGCTTATCCGAGCACCCCCCTCGAAAAAGAGTGCAAATGAAAATTTTGATTCATCAAGTGACAGATTACGTCTTTGAGGAAAATCAAATTACAAAATTAGTTGAGTAGTCATTGATTTTCACAATGAAGAAACAGAAATGATCACAAAAAATATGCACATTTTATTACAATAATAATTACGTACCACCAGAATTTACGAAATTAAAAGGTCACCAAGTAATCGTGTTTACCTTGGAAGCAGCTAATCCACCAGATCCTCCACCAATGACTATAAGATCATAGTCGTATGATTCAGTCATTGATGCGTCATCTTGTTTTTTCGACTGCGATACGAGAGCCATGAGTGAGCCATCTCTATTCTTCTTCATGGTGTCATCACAGCCACCGATATGATTGCTGTTAATAAAAACATTTGGTACAGTACGCTGACCCGTCATTTCAAATAACCCATCTTGTAAATCTTTACCATTAGCTGAAATAAATACAAAGGAGAATTACAGTCTTGGATGACAATACAGTAAAAATTATTTGAACTTCTGGAGCTGAATTAAAATTACGGATAAAAATATTTTTAGATAGCTATGGGAGAACAGTGAGGAGCAGTTTAGTTGCGACTAGGGCACTTCCCACGAGTATGTAACGTGTAAAACAATTGCAATATACACGTTTTCAGATAGCTGAGATTATTATTTCATAATTTTCATGATTTGCTTAGAAGAAAAAGTTACAGAAGTTTCCATAAAGCTCCATAAAAACAAGAGTAGTATTTTGATGATTTACTCTAAAATGTTTTTTATTGTTACTTTACAAGATAATCTACTAGTATGAAATCTGACTTTTAGACTACATTTCATTGATGTGTCTTTGATCTTGTAGTTGCAATTCAAAATCAGATGCTCACAAAAAAAACAGTTTTTAGTCATTTTGCAGTATATAGATAGTTTAATTTGTGCAGTTAGCATGAACTTGATTTAGGAACATTTGACATTTTCAGAAGTTACAATAGTTAACAAGCCACAGGCACAGTTCCTGATATCTGATCTTCAAACGAGTACTTGTCCATATTGAGAAAAATATTGCTCTGAAACAATAATTAACACAAAATGGCCACCAATCAGCCATTTTGAATACATCTATTATGTATAATGAATATATAAAATTTGAGCAATCAGTCAAAGCATGCCAGATATATGGCTCTAGAAACACATTCATTAAAACAAAATGGCCGTCAGTAAGCCATTTTGAAACCATTCTGAAAAACAAATTGAAATGCATCAAGGACCAATGTCATACCAAGGTCAGTGTTCTCCCCAGAAAATTGTCTCAGAGTGGCAGCTAATTTGCACATAATTTACATAATTATTAGCATATGACCTGTAAGGTCAAAGGAAGTTGTTGAGGTCAAATTTTGATAAACCATGGCGGAATTAGCTTTGTATCGAGAGTTTGCGTACGATCTTGCCTTCAATCGTTTTCCCACAGACCCTACCCATTTTTGCATCGTAAATTCAGACGGTGTGTGAAGCATATTGTAATAAAATGTATGTTTTTTGTTCATATTTGTTTCTCCATTGTAAAAAAGCGTCGCTGAAATCAATGACAGCTCGTTTTGCATTTTTTTGTTTTCTCAAAAAGACGTAATATTCCTCCAAGACCGGTGCTATGAACGAAAAATGTAATTTGGATAATGTTTCGAGGATGGGAAGATGGTTACAGTTTTTAATACACCAAACAAATTTTTTTTCTGAAGTGGTCCTCGAGTATAAGCCCACCCCTTATTTTTTACAATTTTACATGTTCAGGCCCCTGGGCTTATGCTCGGGGAAGTACAGTATTTTGAATTGGATGGTCAAACCAATACATCTGTATATCTATTAAATGATATATTCATTATACATGTAATTTGAACATAATCAGTCAAAGCAAGTCCGAGATGAGCCAATTGCTCATTTTAAATTCGATCTGAAAAATAAAATGATGTGCATCAAGTTTCTCTAATGTCCAATGTATGTACCAAGTTTAAACAAAATCCATCTGTAAAGAGCAAAGATATGCTTGATTTTGATGAATATTCAGTACAAAAATGATCGCCATTCGACCATTTTGAATCAAATCGAGAAACAAATTGATGTGCATATGTATAATATTATGTATGATGTATGTTTGAAATTTGAATGTAACCGTTCCAGGCATGTCTAAGATATAATCTGGACGCACACACGCATGGACACTAATTTATTCAAGACCCTTTGCTTCTTCAATCAGTATGTAAATTAAATTCCTTCTTTTGTTCGTTACTCGGCCTGGTTTTGTAAATGTACCTTGACATGTACACTGACAACTAGATTTTTGTAAATAATCAGAAATTATGCACCAAATGAATCACACACAGCAGTTTGCACGAGATAAAAAAAAAAGAATGCGATGTGATGTTGCATAATTGAAGATCTTTTTAAAAATGCATTTTTTTTTTGATTTTTTCCTCCCCTGTCACTGCCTCCAGACAGTCTGAAGAACATACATACCAATCTGATCCAATTCAATGGCGGTGTATTCAACTTTCAATGAACTGAAAAGATCTTTCACCTGGTAAAGAAATAAAATCAGTTAAAATTTGTATTGACTGTCATATATTGTCAAAAGGTTTTAACCCTAATTGTATCAGTCTCTATAGAAGTTTTAAGGATTTATATGCAATAAATTGATGGTCTATTCACTACAGGAGTTACTACAAACATTTAGCTGGCAGACATTTTTATCAGTGCCACAGTTTTGTAGAAAGAAAATCATCTGAAGCTTTGCCTTAGCTCTAATATTTTCAACCACAACCTGAAGACTTCTTTTTAAATAAATTTACTGATTGTTTTTTAATGTATGTTTTCACTGTGTACTTTAAACCTGCTTTTATTGTTCAAAAAGAGTTCATTGAGACACTAGATGCAATATATAAATAAAATTCATAAGAAGTCAATGACATAGTCCTTGTTTAGTGTTAAGTGAATGTGTCCAGTATAAACCATATACGACATAGATTATAATTCAATGTCGAGGGCAGTATTCAGCATGTTAAAAATGTGGTGTTACTTCAAAAAGCAGTTTCCAGATTTTGTTATTTTGTTAATTTTAGAAAAAAAAAATATTTCTCATATTGTACACAACTGTATAACCCACACAGACACTGTTGAACATTTTGACTCAAATCACACAAACATCCTGTGTATTGTTCATACAAAGTTTGAATGAAATCAAAACAGGGATGCCTGATAAACTATTAATGACATGTTTCAATTGTTTGTTTTTTTAGTTTTATGGGGACCAAAATGGCCACCAGTCGGTCAAAAGTTATTGAAATACAAAAATTAATGTGCCTACAGTTTTTATGATGTATACCACTATGTTATGTAACAAAATCAAACAAAGCATGTCTGAGAAACTGTTAAGGACACATGAAAATAAAACAAACATTGCCGCCATTGTTTTGGATGAATCAAATCACAAAAATTGTCGTGCATCGGTAACTCATCATGTGTGATGTGCATATAAATTTTGAACTGTACAGGTATGTCTGAGAAACAGTTGATGGCATATTCAGATTTCGTTATCCAGTCGGGCAGAGACACATTTGTTGCATAAAATCCAACCATGCATGTATGTTTCAAAGTTTGTTAAATATATGAGGTCGCTAACACTAAAGAGGTAATCAAAGAAAGCTTAGAAAGAACTCCCGTGTGCTGAGAGTATTGGAGACACATTAAAAATTAATTCAAAATTACTTGAACTTGAGATATTGATGGAAATGCAGAAAACTAATTATGCAAATAAGGTAACTAATATGAACACATTTAAGTGTAAAACTAATAAGGTCTGCACAATGTAAAAGTAATAAGATCTGCGTAATGTAATATCTACATGTATGTACCAAGTTTCATTGAAATGTGATTAGAACCAAAAAATTATTAATTATTGTGCTAATTAAGAGAATTAATATGAACAGATTTTAACCCAAAATTAATCAGCTGTCTATTGTCCTAGAGCATTTATGTACCAAGTTTTATTCAATGTGATGATCATA